AGATGGAGTCTCGCTGTGCTGCCCAGGCTGGAGTGCAGTAGCGTGATCTCAGCTTACTGCAACCTCCGCCTCCCAGGTTCAAGCGATTCTCCTGCTTCAGCCTCTCAAGTAGCTGGGACTACAGGCACGCGCCACCAAGCCCTGCTAATTTTTTGTATTTTTAGTAGAGATGGAGTTTCACCATGTTGGCCGGGCTGGTCTCGAACTCCAGACCTCAGGTGATCCACCCGCCTTGGCCTCCCAAAGTGCTGGGATTACAGGCATGAGCTACTGCATCCAGCCCCCTCTAACATTCTTGCTTGTGTCTAGAAGGTACATGTACCATAAAAGACACAATCTTTAACAGAATAGTCAGGCAAGTACATCACCTTACACCCACATGGAATATAGCAGAGTCTCCCAAAGTCAGTGTATCAGTGCAGCTCTAAGTTACTGAAGCTTAAAGCTGCACTAAGTGAGACTCTCGGGACACCCTATCTGGCCTTTAAATTTGACAGAGGACAAGCATTTATACCATATATATATAATCCCACGGTGATAGAGCATGTGCTATGAAACATGCATCTGGGATCCTGTAATTTTTTTTGTTTTGTTTTTTGAGACACAGTCTCGCTCTGTGGCCCCAGGCTGGAGTGCAGTGGCCTGATTTTGGCTCATTGCAACCTTCGCCTCCTGGGTTCCAAGCGATTCTCCTGCCTCAGTCTGCCGAGTAGCTGCAACTACAGGTGCAGGCTACCACACCTGGCTAATATTTTATATTTTTAGTAGAGATGGTGTTTCACCATGTTGCCCAGGGTGGTCTCAAACTCCTGAGCTCAGGTGATCTACCTACCTTGGCCTCCCAAAGTGCTGCAATTACAGGCATGAGCCACCACGCCTGGCCCTGGGATCGTTTTATGCAGAGCCAACCATAGCAAAACTGAGATTGGCAACTGTTCTCTCTGGTGTCTCCTCCTCTGTTTTAAAAAATCTCTCAGCCAGGTGCGGTGGCTCACACCTGTGATCCCAGCACTTTGGGAGGCCAAGGCGGCAGATGGCCTGAGCTCAGGAGCTCAGCCTGACCAGCCTGGGCAACATGGTGAAACCCTATCTCTATTAAAAATACAAAAAATTAGCCGGGCATGGTGGCGTGTGCCTGTAGTCCCAGCTACTTGGGAGGCTGAGGCAGGAGAATCACTGGAACCCAGGGGCAAAAGTTGCAGTGAGCCAAGATTGCGCCACTGCACTCCAGCCTAGGTGACAGAGCAAGATTGCATCTCAAAATAAATAAAATAAAAAAATAGAAAAACTCTCTTTCCAGAAGGTCAGTTCCTCTGACAATGCTTCAGAGTGTCCACTTTCCACTATGAAAATGTCCTTGAGAGTAGTCTGTGACTCATGGAAATTGATGGCCTACCTCCTGCTAAGGTGATGACTATCTTTATAATATACCTTGTTTGCTTCCTGTTCTCAAGGACAATCTGTGGCTCTTCTGAAATGCTCATGACTCTAAGACGGGTAGCAGCCAACCTATGATGTGTTTATGTCCTACGTATACATTACCTTGCTTTCATTTATGGTGTCATTTAGGAGGAGTTTTAAATCTTTCCACAGAGGAATGAGCCTGGGGGAAGATGTCGCCATGAGACTCCCTTGGCCCTCCTGAGGACCGTTGCTTAAAAACCTGTGGGAATCCAAAAGAGCCCAGCTTAGTCACTGCCACTTTCCGAGAAGCTAGGAATCAGAAGGCAAGAACAATGAATTCATGTCTATTGAACACCTTCTGAAAGTCAGGAACTGTGCACAAGACATATTTTCTCATTTCATCCACTCTACAGCCCAGTAAGGTAGGCATTATCTCATTTTATAGATGAGAAAACTGAGGCCTGGAGACAGCAAATGGGGAGTGAATCTTAGCGTGTTCCTTCCTATTGTAACCCAGTAACATAAATGGGTGAGAGAAGCAGAGAAACCGAGAGGGGGCTGGAAAAGAATACCCTCACAGGCAAATAATAGTCCTTCACATTTTGTGTTGTGTCCGGAGAGCATTTTGTGAAGACTGTGGGGTCTCAAAGTATGGTCCCCGGACCTCCTGAACCAGCATTCCTGGGGGTAAGTTTTATTTTGTTTTATTTATTTATTTATCTATTTTTGAGACAGAGTCTCGCTCTGTCACCCAGGCTGGTGCGTGCCTGTGGTCCCAGCTCCTTGGAAGGCTGAGGCAGGAGGATCACTTGATTTTTTTTAATTTTAATTAATTAATCTATTTATTTTGAGACAGAGTCTCACTCTGTCACCCAGGCTGGAGTGCAGTGGCCCAATCTTGGCTCACTGCAACCTCTGCCTCCCAGGTTCAAGTGATTCTCCTGCCTCAGCCTCCTGAGTAGCTGGGATTGCAGGTATGCACCACCACGCCCGGCTAATTTTGTGTTTTTAAGTAGAGACAGGGTATCACTGTGTTGCCCAGGCCGGTCTCGACCTCTTGAGCTCAGGCAATCCTCCTGCCTCAGCCTCCCAAAATGCTGGAATACAGGTGTGAGCCACAACACTGGGCTAATTTTTAAATTTTTTTGTAGAGACAAGGTTTCACCATGTAGCCCAGGAGAGACAGGGTTTCACCATGTTGGTCAGGTCAGGTCAGGTCAGGTCAGGTGATCCACCCACCTTGGCCTCCCAAAGTGCTGGGATGACAGGCGTGAGCCACCGCTGTCTGGCCACCTGGGGGTAAGTTTAAAAAAAAATAAAGCTGGGCGTGGTGGCTCATGCCTGTCATCCCAGCACTTTGGGAGGCCGAGATGGGCAGATTACAAGGTCAGGAGATCGAGACCATCCTGGCTAACACAGTGAAACCCTGTCTCTACTAAAAATACAAAAAATTAGCTGGGCATGGTGGCAGGCACCTGTAGTCCCAGCTACTCAGGAGGCTGAGGCAGGAGAATGGCGTGAACCCGGGAGGCGGAGCTTGCAGTGAGCCGAGATCACGCCACTGCACTCCAGCCTGGGCGACAGAGTGAGACTCTGTCTCAAAATAAATAAATAAATATTTAAAAAATCAAGTGATCCTCCTGCCTCAGCCTTCCAAGAAGCTGGGACCACAGGTATGCACCACCATGCCTGGCTAACTTTTCAAACTTTTTTTTTTTTTGTAGAGATGGGGTTTTGCTTTGTTGCCCAGGCTGGTCTTGAAGCTGGGTTCCAGCTTTAGCCTCCCAAAGTGCTAGGAATACAGGTGTGAGCCACAACACTGACCTGTAGGTGTCAAAATGCATATTCCTGGGCTCCTCCCCTAGACCTACTGAATCAGAACCATGGAAGTAGGACGCAGGAACCTCCACTTGTAATGTGCTCCCTGGGTGATTCTACTGGCATTGGAGCCTGACTGCTGAAATAGGAAATGGAGATACAGGGCACCCAGGACTAAGAGTCAGCCCCAGCTAGCACATATGGAGAGAGGATCCAGCCATTTGGCTTTGCAGGTTTCCCTGACTGTGTGGAATCAGGTAGCTCCTTTTTTTTTTTTTTTTTAAGATGGAGTTTCGTTCTGGTTGCTCAGGCTGGAGTGCAATGGTGCAATCTCGGCTCACTGTAACCTCTGCCTTCTGGGTTCACGCCATTCTCCTGCCTCAGCCTCCTGAGTAGCTGGGATTGCAGGTATGCACCACCACGCCCGGCTAATTTTGTGTTTTTAGTAGAGATGGGGTTTCACCATGTTGGCCAGGCTAGTCTTGAGCTCCTGACCTCAGATTATCCACCCACCTCAGCCTCCCAAAGTGCTGGGATTACAGGCATCAGCCACCAAGCCGGGCCTCAGGTAGCTCTCTTACAGGAGGTACATCTGCTGTTCATTGTCCTCGTCCCCGTTCCCTTTTCTTTGGCCTTCATGAGGACAAACCTCTACTTTTCCTGGTTGTACAGTGAATTACTTTTAACATACCCCCTCTGTCAGGAAATCTGTTACTACTTGTGGGAAAATGGGCTAGTTTTTCCTCATTTGTAAAATGAAAATGCCACTGTTGCTTATGTTACAGGATTGCTGCAAAGATTAAATAGGATAATTTATGTTAAAACCCTTTTAAGCATACCCTGTAGTGACAAACACGACTTCTGTTTGTAGGCTGGCCTAGTTCTCAGACAGGTGACCACTCTATTTCCTTCCAACTCAAACTTTGTGCTTTTCAGCTGCTCTGGAAACATGACAGTTAAATTTATAGTCTGGCCAGCAGAGGGCAACGGAGGCCAACCTTGCCTGCCAGATGTAGAAGAACTTCATCCGTTTAGAGAAATAATGGGAACTTGTTAGAAATGCAAATTATTGGGCCCCACCCCAGACCTACTCAATTGGAAATTCTGAGATTAAGGCCCATCAATTAGTTATTGTTGTTGTTTTAAGATATAGGGTTTTGGCTGGGTGCAGTGGCTGACGCCTGTAATCTCAGCACTTTGGGAGGCTGAGAAGGATAGGTCACCTGAGGTCAAGAGTCCGAGACTAGCCTGGCCAACATGGTGAAACCCCGTCTCTACTAAAAATACAAAAATTAGCTGGGTGTTGTGGCAGGCGCCTGTAATCCCAGCTCTTCAGGAGGTTGAGGCAAGAGAGTCACTTGAATCCAGGAGGCGGAGGCTGCAGTAAGCTGAGATTGTACCACTGCACCCCAGCCTGGGCAAGAGTGAGATTCAGTCTCAAAAAGAAAAAGAGACAGGGTTTTGCTCTGTTGCCCAGACGGTAGTGCAGTGGCATCATCATAGCTCACTGCAGCTTTGAACTCCAGAGCTCCAGAACTCAAGTGATCCTCCCACTTCAGCCTCCCACGTGCTAGGACTACAGGCATGTGCCACCACACCTGGCTAATTTTTGTTTCTTTGTTTTGTTTTTGTGGAGACAGGGTCTCACTGTGTTACCCGGGCTGAAGTGGTCACAAGTGATCCTCCCACCTTGGCCTCCTGGTCACAAGTGATCCTCCCACCTTGGCCTCCCAAAATGCTGGGATTTCAGGCATAAGCCACCACGCCTGGCCTATTTTGTTTTTTTGTTTCCATTTTTGTAGAGATGGGAGTGGGGGTGGGGTAGGGATAAGGGGGTGTCACTATGCTGTCCAGGCTGGTCTCTAACTCCTGGCCTCAAGCTTCGGCTTCCCAAAGCCTCGGCTTCCCAAAGCGCTGGGATCACAGGCATGAACTGTTGCACCTTGCTTCAACAATAACCAAAGTGTGAAAAACACTGGTTTAGAGAACTGGTGGAGTCCCAAGTCATTTGGCCTGGGCTTCCTGAAGCAAGGTCAGCAGAACCCACCTTCTGGTATGGCTAAGCCAAGGCTCTGTGTTACCACAGAGACTTGCTCACTGGATTTGCGGTGGGGGAAAGCAGCAGGCAAAACTTATCATCATCATCATCATCTCACATGCATACAGTGGGTGAGAGCCCAAGGAAAAGCTTTCAACATCAATCATTTCCTTAGTTCTTGAAAGAATCCTGAGAGGCAGATATCATCATCTTCGTTGTACAAAAGAGGAACATGAACTCAAAGAGGAAAAGGGATGTGTTTAAGTCTACAAAGGGCAGATCAAGACTAAGATCCACCGGGTACAGTGGCTCACGCCTGTAATCCCAGCACTTTAGGAGGCCAAGGCGGGTGGATCATGAGGTCAGGAGTTTGAGACCAGCCTGGCCAACATGGTGAAACCCCGTCTCTACTAAAAATACAAAAATTAGCCGGGCGCGGTGGTGGGCGCCTGTAATTCCAACTACTCGGGAGGCTGAGACAGGAGAATCGCTTGAACACAGGAGGCAGAGGTTGCAGTGAGCCAAGATCACGCCACTGCACTCTAGCCTCGGTGATAGCGCGAGACTCTGTCTCAAAAAAAAAAAAAGACTAAGATCCAATCCACAGTTCAGGATTCTTCCACTATATCAGAGGAGGAAGAGGTTTTGCTGGCTGATGCTAAGAAGGCTCTCTGATCCACAAATCCACTCACAGTGGGAACTTGGCACTGGCTGGCAGCACACAGCATCCTGTCTCTTTCCATGCTCCCCAAACTGCATGCTGCCCTCCTGCGATAGCTATCTCCATTCGGTTCCACTCAACCCTGCACTTGCTGCTCATTCTGAACACCTTTCAGGCTCCAGATGATCTGCTTCAGATCCTGCACAGCAGTGGAGGCCCCTATGGGAGTTACCCCAGGCCAAAGTGGGAGGCTCACTCGCTTGCAGCCAGAAGTTCAAGGCCAGCCTGGGCAACATAGTGAGACCCTGTCTCTACAAAAAAAAAAAGTAGCCAGGCGTGGTGCCATGTGCCTGTAATCCTAGGTATCTGGGAGGCTGAGGTGGAGGATCACTTGAGCTCAGGAGGTTGAGGCTGCAGTCAGTTATGATGGCCCCACTGCATGCCAGCCTGGGTGACAGAGCAAAATCCTGTCTCAAAAAAAAAAAAAAAAAAAAAAAAAAAAAAAAAGTTGAGGTGGCTCACGCCTGTAATCCCAGCACTTTGGGAGGCCGAGGTGGGTGGATCACAAGGTCAAGAATTCAAGACCAGCTTGACCAGCATGGTGAAACCCTGTATCTACTAAAAATAACAAAAATGTGCCAGGCATGGTGGAGGGTGCCTGTAATCCCAGCTACTCCGGAGCCTGAGGCAGAGAATTGCTTTAAGTTGCAGGAGGCGGAAGTTGCAGTGAGCCGAGACTGCACCACTGCATTCCGGCCTGGGCGACAGGGTGAGACTCCAACTCAAAAACAAAACAAAACAAAACACCAGGAAAAAACCAAACCACCACCACAACTCAGAGTTACCCCACTGGCCCCTTCTTGCGGCCTCAGAGCTGCTGAGAGAGCAGTCATTTGTAGCAAATTTGCAGTCACTGCCATCACTTCCCATTATTCCAAATATCTCCACTGGGTCCCACTTCTCTTGACCAGCCTACAAAGAGCAATTGGTTGGGACTATTTCAGGGAATATTTCTAGGTGATGAGTGAGAAGGAGGACTTTCAAACCCCAAATCTCTATGTTTATTTAATTTTATGGGGTGTTTTTTTTGTTTTGTTTTTTTGAGACAGAGTCTTGCTCTGTTGCCCGGGCTGGAGTGCAGTGGTAGAGTCACAGTTCACTGCAGTCTCGAACTCCTGGGCTCAAGCAATCCTCCCGCCTCACCCTCCTGAGTAGTTGGGAACACAGGCACGCACCCCCACGCCTGGCTAATTTTTTAAAAACTTTTTGTAGAGACAGGGTCTCACTATGTTGCTTAGGTGGTCTCAAACTCCTGGGCTCAAGCGATCCGCCTGCCTCAGCCTCCCAAAGTGCTGGGATTACAGGTATGAGCCACTGCACCTGGCCCTTTATGTTTATTTTCTTATTTATTTATTTGCTACTCTTTCGCACATCATAGACCAGTTTCCTTGGGTTAGCCTCAGAGGATGACATTCAACTCCCTAATCCCAGTACCTGTCCTTAAAAGCAAGTTTGTAGTGAGCTCCAGATGCTTTAATCCCAACAGTCTTGATTGTTTAATATCTTTTACTTTTTATTTTTTGTTTTTTTGAGATGGAGTCTCACTCTGTCGCCCAGGCTGGAGTGCCGTGGCGTGATCTCAGCTCACTGCGACCCCCGCCTCTGGAGTTCACGTGATTCTCCTGCCTCAGCCTCCTGGGTAGCTGGGATTACAGGCATGCACCACCATGCCCAGCTAATTTTTTTTTTTTTTTTAGTAGAGACGGAGTTTTACCATGTTGGCCAGGCTGGTCTCAAACTCCTGACCTCAGGCGATGCACCCGCCTCAGCCTCCTAAAGTGCTGGGATTACAGACGTGAATCACCATGCCCGGCCGATTGTTTAATAACTTAACGCAAAGATCATCTAATGGGAGAATTCAAGCTCTGTGGCCAATTTAGCGTGAAGGGTATTTGGGACCAACGAATGTTATTCCTGCTGACTGCGGAGACAAACCAGGTCCATGACTGATGTTGACACGGAACTATATTCCTTTTCTTAGCACCAGTCCACTGTAAGGTACATAGTGTTCCTGATGGCCTGAGGAAAGGCAATCCTCCCACGAGTTTTGTCTTGTTAAAGAGAGTTGACTCTAGGGGGCGCTGCACTCCACGACACAGTCAGGCCCCTGGGCTCCCATTGGCTCACTAGTTGGCTCCACTGTGTTCTGTTATATGTGTGTGTGAGGGGATCCAGGCAGGTTTCTTGCTCCCTAGAGCTTACAGTCATCAATGAAGAGATATAAAATGGATTGCAGTGGGAAACTCTAGGTGATGGGTTATATTATCCCATAGAACTTTTCTGCAACTTTTAATTTTCTCAAATTAAATTGCAAATTAAATTCAGTTTTAAGAAGGAAAAGTATGAAGTGCTTTGAGTACATATAACAAGGAGACCTGGCCACCCAAAAGGAAGGTGATGAGTGCGCCACACTGTGAGACAGGGCCCTGCATGGATTATATAACCTTGCAGGTGGTCTCACGTTTGGGGACAGGGGTGCAGAAAGTCCAGCAGGGGACAGGGGTGCAGAAAGTCCAGCTGGTATCGGAAAGGCCTAATTAGTTGACTGTAAAGTCAGAGGGGCAACCTAAGCTTACTTGGTTCTTTGAATGACATTACTGATAAGGAGCCCAAGTTTGTCCCCAGGGCCTGGGAGTGCTACTCTGGCCTTCAGGTGGCTGCATAGCTAGGGCTGGGGGTGGAATGCATTTAACTTTCTTAATGGGAAGAAATAATTTTCCAGGCTGACAAACATACATTAACAGGGTGGGCTAGTTTCTGTTGGATGGAAGAGTTACCCTGGATCCCTGAGAAGTAATGACAGTATCCAGGATTAATTAGGTTTTAAGTAGTAACCAGCGGTTTTACCTATCTTTTAATTCTTATTTATTTATTTAGAGATAGGGCCTCACTCTGTCACCCAGTTGGAGTGCAGTAGCACGATCATGGCTCACTGCAGCCTCGACTTCACTGGCTCAAGTGATCCTCCTGCCTTAGCCTCCTGAGTAGCTGGGACTACAGGCTAGTGCTACCACACCTGGCAAATTTTTGTACTTTTGGTAGAGATGGGGTTTCACCATGTTGCCCAGGCTGGTCTCAAACTCCTGGACTCAAAGAATCCATTTGCCTCAGCCTCCCAAAGTGTTGGGATTATAGGTGTCAGCCACCACACCCAGCCTATTTTGTTTTCCTACAATTATTCTAATGACTTAGCTATTATCCTCCCTGTAATTAAACAACTTCTTTTTTTTTTTTTTTTTTTTTTGAGACAAGAGTCTCGCTCTGTCGCCCAGGCTGGAGTGCAGTGGCATGATCTCGGCTCACTGCAAGCTCTACCTCCCGGGTTCACGCCATTCTCCTGCCTCAGCCTCCCGAGTAGCTGGGACTACAGGCCCCTGCCACCATACCTGGCTAATTCTTTCTATTTTTTAGTAGAGACGGGGTTTCACCATATTAGCCAGGATGGTCTCAATCTCCTGACCTCATGATCCACCTGCCTCGGCCTCCCAAAGTGCTGGGATTACAGGCTTGAGCCACTGCGCCCAGCCAAAAATATTTTTCTTATGCGAGTGATAATATACTATAGACACTGTTATTCACCTTTTTTTTTTTCCTCTTAATATAGCTTTAAGATTAAGTCATGTTAATACATATAACTCTGTTTCATTTCTCAACAGTTACTAACTGCAGGGCATTCCAATGTGTGGCTGAACTATCATTTATTTATCCAAATTTCTACTAATGGACATTGGGTGGTTTCCAACCTTTTGCTATTTCAGCTAATGCTGCAAATGAATATCTTTGTTAGTGCCTCATAACATTTTAATTTTATTTGATTTTAATTTAACTTAAATTGTAGAATTGAGGTCAGGCATGGTGGCTCATGCCTGTAGTCTCAGCACTTTGGGAGGCCAAGGCTGGCGGATCACGAGGTCAGGAGGTTGAGACTATCCTGGCCAACATGGTGAAACCCGGTCTCTACTAAAAATACAAAAATTAGCTGGGTGTCGGGGGGTGTGCCTGTAATCCCAGCTACTTGGGAGGTTGAGGCAGGAGAATCACTTGAATCAGGGAGTCAGAGGTTGCAGGGAGCTGAGGTGGCATCACTGCACTCCAGCCTGGCGAGAGAGTGGGACTCCATCTCAAAAAAAAAAGAAAAAAAAATGTAGAGCTGAGGCAATGAAAACATTTTTCCATTAACCTAACTTGGAATAATATTTTGGATGTATTTGAATTAAAGTATTAAAATTAATTTCATAGCTGGGTGACATGGCTCACGCCTATAATCCCAGCACTTTGGAAGGCTGACGTAGGAAGATGTCTTGAGGCCAAGAGTTCAATACCAGCCTGGCAACATGGCCAAAAAAAAAAAAAAAGTAAGTAAATAGTAATAAATAAAATGAATTTTACCTGTTTATGTAAAATTTAAAATTGCATATGTGGCTTGCATTACACATAAATACACACATACACATAAATTTTTTTTTTTTTTTAAAGAGACAGGGTTCTGCTGTCGCCCAAGCTGGAGTGCAGTGGTGCAATCATGGTTCCCTGCAGTCTCAAACTCCTGGGCTTAAGCGATACTCAGCCTCTTGAACAGCTGGGACTATGGCCACATGCCACCACACCTAGCTAGTTTTTTAGTTTTAGTAGAAATGCGGTCTTGCTATGTTACCCGGCCAGTCTCCAACTCCCGGCCTTAAGTGATCCTCCTGCCTCAGTGGCTTAAAGTGCCTGGTATATTTCTCTTAGGTAGTATTGCCCTACATTGCCGTAGTCTGGTGGTGGCCTGATATCCCTATTGGACAGAAAGTTCCCTGAAGGTAGGACTCCAGTCTGTCTGGATTTCTCTTGTTTCCATAATCACCCAACCTGACAAGGAATAGGTGCTTAATCCATTTTTGTTGAATGAGTGGAAAAACGTGCTCTCCCAGGAAGAAACATCTGCTTCCCAGCTTCAAATGTTACATCTTCCTAGAAGGCAGGCTGAGGCGGAAAGGGTATTGACTACGGCTTCTCGACCAGAGGACCTTGCGATTCCAGTCAATTCCCTCGGTAACTCTTATGGAGGCGTGGCAATATACATTAAAAAAGGAGTGTGTGTTGCGGGGTATTCCGCTGCTTGGTTATGCCAGCAGGTGGATTAAATTTGGATAAAATTTCCCAAGGTGTAGGTACTCTACAAACACTAGTTACCCTCAGGAATGTGTGATCAACAAAAGAATGTAAGATAACAAGGCCCCTACGCAGCCCTTGGGTCTTGTGGCTGCCGTCGAAGGCAGAGCTCTGGAGCCGCCTACGCCGCGGAGAGGCGACTACACCCAGGGCCCCTCACCCTCGGGCCTCCTGCACGGCGGGAGGCAGGGCGTTTCTGTCTCAAAGCATGGGCTGCGCCTGTTACCTGCGACAGGACTCCCGACAAGGGACGGGTACGGTGTGTGCACTCAGACGCTCCTTGAGCTAGGGGCAGCGACTAAGAAGCTACCTGGCGGATGCTGCGAGAGGACTCCGCCCACAAAACGGTTGGACCCCAACCCCGCAGCCGGCGGACTCCCCGAGGCCAGGGGTCTGAACGCGCGTGCGCATGGGCGCGCGCTCGAAAGAAAAAAAAAAATCCTCTCAGCGGGGGCCCGCGGCAATTTAGGTCGGGGTCTGCCGGCAAGCGCGCGTGCGCGAGCGCGCATCGACGCCCTTCTCCACCACCCCCTTCGCTGGGGGTCTAGCTCACTGCTCCGCTTCCTCCACTTCTCCCGGGGGAAGAGTGACTAGCGTCCTAAGGGTGAGTGACTCGAGCCTGGCAGAGAGTGAAAGAGAGGTTCCGCCGAATGAAGGGAGGAGGCAGACGGGGCTAGGAGAAAGGAGAAACCGCCCTGGCGGGGTGAACAGCGCAGCTCTCGAGCTGGAATCTGCAGGAGACACGCCTCCCTCCCTCACGCCCCTCGGGGCTGCGGAAGTGCTCTAGAGACTGGAGCTGCATGAAGGCGACCAGTGGACTACGGTTCCTAGGAGGCAGCGCGGCAGTGCGCCTACGGCTCCCGGCAGCCCCCGCGCGCCAGGCTCTTTTCAGTTCGCGGCCGGCTAGGGCGAAACTACAGTTCCCAGGAGGACGCGCGCGAAGCGGCTTGGAAGTGGGCAGCCTGGAAGTCACTCGGGCCACCGGAGCTGGCGGCGTCTCCAGCGAGCGGCGCGGAGCCGGACGCCGCAGTCGTGGGGCCCGCGGGGCGGGCAGCCCAGACGCCAGGTATGTGGCTCCGGGTGCGGGATCGGCCTCGCGCAAGGGTGGCGGGGAATCGGTGGCTGCCCGGACCCCGAGGGTCAGCGCGGGCGGACGGCCGGGTGTGGGTACTGGCCGTGGGGGGCGGCGGCGCCGGGACTCGCGCCCTCCGGACCCAGCCGGACTTGTGCCTGCATGGCTCAACTTTCCAGGCGTGCACCCCGGCGCTGTGGGGAAGAGCTTGGAGGCGGGGAGCGGTGGATTCGCGTCCCGGCTGTGCCGCTCGGGAGCTGCGATCTGGGGAAACCGCGCCGAACCTCAATTTCCCCTGCAGTAAAACGGAGTAGGAGAGTGTCTTGGCAGAGATTCTGTTGAGATAATAGAATAAAACATTTGGCACATAGGAGGCACTTACTACGTGTTGGGGTTATTGTTAGCTCTCCGAAAAATGAGGTGAAGATGTTATCGATTGCATAGGGTGAGGATTAGTTGAGCGTGTGCATGTAAAGAGGTGAGTCCATGGTTAGCACCCAACGCAGGCTAGCTGCTGTTAACCGAGATAATTTTGTTAAGAGCGTTGGTTTGGAAGGCAGAGAGACCCCAGGTTCAAATTTGAACATTTACCAGCTGTGTGACTTTGGGCAACTGGCCTCACCTCTCTGTGCCTTGGCTTCCCTATCTATAAAATGGGGATTTAAGTAGCAACCACTTCGTCGAGTTGTTTTCAGGATGCAGTGAGAATACCATGCGTAAAGTGCTTAGCACAGCAACTGGCACATAATGCTCAGTAAATGGTACCGTTTATTAAGCGTGTTCCTAGTGGCCCAGAGACCCTCTGAGGGTGGGACTCTGGCTGTAGTATTGGTCTCCCCCGAGGGCCAGATTCAGAACTGGTCCAGTTGACTTGACCTCCTACTACCTCAGGTTCCTCATTTACAAAATGGGATAATAACAAGATCACTCTCAAAGGGTTGTAAGGATTTGCTGAGATTGTGTTTCTAGTCCAGCGCCATCTCTCACTAAGTAGCAGCTCTTATGTATTATAATTGTTCTTCAATATTCTCCATCTGGCCCAGAGACTGCCTGACTGTGGGCTGTGACATGACAGCCCTGAGCTCCCCCACACGTTTGCTCCCAGCCTCAGTGTCCCATCTGTGGAATGGTAGTCATAGGACTTTTGTGCCAGGATTGTTTTGATGGTTCCAGGAGATAATTCATGTTTAGTACTTTGCACAAGACCCGGCACACAGTAAGTGCTTATTAAATGATTAAATGCATCTTGCTGTTTTTTGTTTTTTTTTTTTTAATAGGCCCTTTTTGCTTGTTTGTACCTACATGGCAGAGTGGTCACAAGGTTAGTGTTTCTTTATTCTCCCCACCGCCCAAAATTTTACTCACCAAAGATTAAATTATGGAACACACTATAGTAGAAAGGCCTAAGAAGAAATGGGACTGACCTGCCATCAGCGGTCCCCTGCTCACACACCCCTCCCCATAGAGCCAGTATGTTTCCTCCAGTGCTTTAATTATTGTCTTAATGCTGCCAGCTCTTGCCTCTGTGTCCCCTGCACTCCAGCTCCAGATGTGGAGCCTGTGCTTCTTCGATGCCCTTAGTGGCTTTCTTGGGCACCATAAACTCAACATGTCCAGCCTGAACTCCTCCTTCTGAAGCCAGTAGTCACCATCTTGGCAAATGCACCAGCATAGACCTGGTTGCCTAAGCCAGAAACCTGGGAGTTGCTCTTCCCCTGCCTTCCCATGTCCAGTCGACAGGCAAGAAGGACGAATCTGCTATTTCATAGGAACACCATTTCATTGGCCCATATTGGTCTCCCATCTGATGGGCACTGAAAGTTCCCCTCCGCTCCTCGAGGTGGTGGCCTTTTCTCACGAGGTTGCGTTTTTTGTTTCTTTGTTTGTTTTGAGATGGAGTCTGTAGCTCTGTAGCCCAGGCTGGAGTGCATCGGCACAATCTCAGCTCACCTCCGCCTCCCGGGTTCAAGCGATTCTCCTACCTCAGCCTCCTGAGTAGCTGGGATTACAGGTGCCCGCCACCACGTGCGGCTAGTTTTTGTGTTTTCAGTAGAGATGGGGTTTTCACCATGTTGGCCATTCTGGTCTCGAACTCCTGACCTCAGGTGATCTACCCATTTTGGCCTCCCACAGTGCTGGGATTGTAGGACATGAGCCACCACGCCTGGCCATGACAAGGTTAAGTCATTAGGGATTAACATATGTATTAATAAGGGCAAGAAGACATTATAGACTTGGCTGGACAGCAGTGACTGTGGATGTGGCATGAAAGCCTGGCTTTCAGGGGACCCAGATCTGTGATTTTAGCCTGGTACAGACTGGCTGAGTTGTAAATTTCTTTCAGAAAAGTTAGATGGTGTCAGCGGCTTAGAATATCCCACGTGGGAGGGTGGCCATCCTGGGCATTTCAGGAGGCAGCACACATACCACACACCCAAGAAGAGCCTGGGAAGGGCGTTTATTAGCGCTCCCTTTAGGTTGAGTTTATTGTCAGAAACCTGTCATTGTGATTTCATTGGATGATAGAAACTGGTGGTCTCAATCACATTTGTGATGGCTACCAAATTTACCTAAGCATTTTGTTCCCTTAACCTGAAGAAATAAAGCAGTGGCTTAAAAAAAAAAATCTTGGTTATTCTCCATGACTAGTGACAGCAGCACGTGGCTTTTCGGCAGTCTGTGTAGAATGAATATCTAAGAGTTAAATGCGAGTCTGTCTTTCAGACATTGCAGTTGTTAGGTGGTAAATCAAAAGTGGAATTTAGAATGTGCAGTTATTGGTGCCTCTCTTTTTTGCTGTAAAATATATTTTACTGATATCTTTCAAACATAGATTTAGTAACTTGAAAATCTAAATTAAATGTATTTACATTTTAACAAAATAATTCAACAATCATTTCCTTTAAAATAAAGAATTTGGGCCGGGCGCAGTGCCTCACACCTGTAATCCCAGCATTTTGGGAGGCCGAGACGGGCGGATCACGAGGTCAGGAGATTGATACCATCCTGGCCAACATGGTGAAACCCCGTCTCTACTAAAAATACAAAAAAAATTAGGTGGGCATAGTGGCGGGCGCCTGTAGTCCCAGCTGCTCGGGAGGCTGAGGCAGGAGAATGGCGTGAACCCGGGAGGCAGAGCTTGCAGTGAGCCTAGATCACGCCACTGCACTGCAGCCCGGGCAACTGAGCGAGACTCTGTCTCAAAAATAAATAAATAAATAAATAAATTTAAAAAAAAGAATTTGTCTTTAGCTGTAAGGACAAGAATGAGAGGCTATTTGGTGGGGTGCAGTGGCTCGTGCTTGTAATCCTAGCACTTTGGAGGCTGAGGCAGGTGGATCACTTGAGCCCAGGAGTTTGAGAGCAGCCTGGGCAACATGTTGACACTCCATCTCTACAAAAAAGTAATCAGGTGTGGTGGCACACATCTCTAGTCCCAGCTACCCGGGATGTTGAGGCTGTGGTGGGCTGTGATTGCAGCATTGCACTCCAGCCTGTGTGACGGAGTAAGACCCTCTCTCAGAAATTAAAAAAAAAAAAATGAGAGTCTATTGGACAAGTTTGTGCATTTGTGTATTCTTCAAGACTGATATTGCTTCCTTTTTTTTAGACAGAGTCTTGCTCTGTGGCCCAGGCTGGAGTGCAGTGGCATGATGTTGGCTCACTGCAACCTCCCCCTCCTGGGTTCAGATGATTCTCCTGCCTCAGCCTCCTGAGTATCTGGGATTACAGGCACGTGCCACCATGCCTGGCTAATTTGTGTATTTTTAGTAGATATGGGGTTTTGCCATGTTGGCTTCGAACTCTTGACCTCAGGTGATCCACCCACCTTGGCCTCCCAAAGTGCTGAAATTACAGGCATGAGCCACCATGCCCAGCCTATTGCTTCCTTTTTTTTTTAGGACTATTCTGGTCATGACATTTTGTGCGTGTGTGTATGTATGTGATTGGGTTGAATTTAGCTTAAAAAAAGTTATGCAAGAAATTCATGCTTGTTGTAATGTGTCAAACAGTACAGAGATGTAGGGAAAATACCTACTGCCACCCTCCACTCCAAAATCCCATGTACCCAGAGATAACCATTTGTTCAGACAGTGAGTATCTATTAAGTATCTATTGCTAGGTTTTGGAGATAGCATAATGAACAAAATGGATGTGTTCTCTGCCCCTGTGATTTGGGCCGATGCCTCAGTTATCTTTTTCTGTGCGTATATTGATTATGTCTGTATGTGTGTATGTGCGTGTGTGTGTGTGTATCGACTGTTTTCTTCCTCCTCCCGTACCATTCCCCAAAAAAGGACGGGGTAGAAATCAAGTTACACCTATTTGTAACCCAATTTTTTCAATTAATGGCTGGGCATGTCCTTCCAAGTCATTACATATAGATCTGGCTTATCCTTTTCAACAGCTGTACCCACATTCTTCAGTGTAGAGAGACCATGCTTTATTCCAGCATTCCCCCACTGCTGGACCTTTACGTTGTTCCTCTGAGATTTCTTTACCTCAGCAAACACACATCTAATAAGTATCCTTGGCGGTGGCTCATGCCTGTAATTCCAGCACTTTGGGAGGCCAAGGCAGGCAGATCATCTGAGGTCAGGAGATTGAGACCATCCTGGCTAACACATGGTGAAACCCCGTCTCTACTAAAAAATACAAAAAAATTAGCTGGGCGTGGTAGCCGGCGCCTATAGTCCCAGCCGCTTGGGAGGCTGAGGCAGGAGAATGGTGTGAACCCAGGAGGCGGAGCTTGCAGTGAGCTGAGATTGAGCCACTGCATTCCAGCCTGGGCGACAGAGCGAGACTCCATCTCAAAAAAAAAAAAAAAAGACAAACAAAAAACAAACAACAAAAAAAAAATACAAAATTAGCCAGGCGTGATGATGAGCACCTGTAATCCCAGCTACTTGAGAGGCTGAGGCAGGAGAATTGCTTGAACTGGGGAGGCGGGGAGGCGGGGAGGCAGGGGGTGCAGTGAGCCGAGATTGTGCCAC